TCGTTCGCATGACGCGCCGGCCTAATAAAAATGTCAAACGAGGCGAGCCGGCAAACAATTACTCGCAAGGCAAACAAAGCGCTCGCCTACGCGGCCTAAATCGAACGAATCGCCGCGGTAACGAGCTTTTGTGTGCTTATCCCACGTTTGGAGCGTGCGCCGACACTTGGCTTGGAGTCGCGCAACACGCGCGCGCCGCCCGATAATCGTAACTCTCGCGGCCGGCTCGCGGCATTAGCGGCGTTTATTCAGCAGACACGGCAGATGGACTCGTCGGTTGACGAGCGCAGCGCCGGCCGCCTGCCTCCCCCTCCCCCCGAATTCCAAGGAACCTGCCGAGGTGCATCGCCACCTGCGACCACCAAGACGTACCTGCGGGGTGGCGCGCCCATGCGTGTTTCCTCGTGCGCCGCGCAGCCATATGCCGCATGCTGCCGCGCACCCCTCCGCGAGAGTTAAGGCCCCCTCGAGCCGATGCCACTCTGCTTTCGGTCGTAAATTTCCTCGAGTTGGAGAGATGCGCCGTTGTTTTCCTTTTCCTCTCGTGACGGACCCTTTGTGTTTTTCGGGAATCGGGCCACAAATTGAGAGCTGCTCTTCGTTTTTCTCCATTGTTCGCGCCTTTCTTCGGAGGTGTTTTACAGCGGCATCATTTGTTTTTACCGCGGCTATCTTGATGCTTCATCTACTTTTCCAATTTTTATGAAGCTCTTGATTCTCTTATTCGTGGAAACGCTATTTTCCAACTGAAATGGACATTGTTCCAGTAATTTGATATTCAATGCAGCTGTTTTTTAGAGATAAACGGAAGCTTTTTACTAATCATTGTTACCAACAAGCAATTCGTTTTCCTTTGTAATTAAGTTTTATTTCAAAATTAAAGAAATTGATTTTTTTCCGCCAGCATTTTAATTGACGATTCGAACGGAAGATGGTATTACCGATCGATTGCCTTTAAATAAGTATAAACACATTCATTTCAAAATATTTTATCAGAAACAATATAGGTGATCCTGTTGTGGACATACTCTATTTTTTTAAATATCAACCGCTCATATGAATTCGTATATTAACTACAATAATAATTACTTCTATTGTCTAAACGTTATCATGGAGTAAGTGATGTTTCTTAGGCTAAATATGGCCCTATTCGTCTATTTTGATGGCGTTAGCCAAGATAAAAACCAGTTTTTCCAGCAGTTGTATTAAAAGAAACGCGCTGGAAAAAATTACCATATTACATGATCGGTCTCCAGGTGTGGGCCCTATGGCGCGCGCGTGCACGCGCGCCACCCGTGGCTCGACTATAATCACGCAAGCATGAATCCGCCACTTTAAGGATAGCCACCCCTGCACCTGCACCCCCAAGAAGACAGGGTGCATGTGCACCTTTCTCACTTCCTTTCTTCGCTTCCTTCCGCCGGTCAGCGGTGCATGCATCCTGAGCGGCGAGCAAGTGCGATTTTTCGGGGGATAAGTGGACAGCACGTACAAGCGCACTCCCTCTGCAGCCCGCGTGAGCGGAACAGACAGGTGACACGCGCTCGAACGTGCGTGCAAATAGCTTGCCCTTAATGAGCCACTTGGCCCTCCTTGAGCGTCGTCTTAGGGGTTCCACTGGCCAACGGATGGATAACGATTGCCGCAGCGACGCAGTGAACGTTGAGGGCTGCGCTGACCGTCACCATCGTTCCATTTTTCCGCTTCTCCTCCCCCCTCCCTCCTGGCTGTAAATTATCGGTCTGTTTTTCGGTTAGCGTTTTCAAAAACACCTTGTCCTTACATGGCAACTGGCCCCGAGCTAAATATGGCTGCTCGCGAAATTGGCATGCGGGAATAATTTTTGTTGGCGCTATGAAATCGCGCCGGGCAAATTTATACATCTCGGCCGCAAAGGACGTCGAAGAAAAGGATTGGATATAGACAGCCGGAGATGTAAAATGACGATAAAAAGATCCAGTGCCAGGCGCTGCCGTTGGCGCGCATAAAGCTGAGGATGGAATTGTCGTGCGTGCGCGCGGGATATAAAGTGCAGCGTGGAAAACGGTGGCAGGATTGCCGATCGAGAGGCGTATATCGATCGGCGTCGGGCGGTATACGCCCTCATGCAAATTTGATGATGCTGCCGGCATAAAAAAGTGAGAGAGAGAGAGAGAGAGAGAGAGAGAGAGAGAGAGCGAAAGAGAGCGCGCGCTGCGCGAAAATAAATAGGGATTAAGCACGATAAGATCCAGCGGTTAACATCGCTCTTAGATAAAGCTCTCTCCCTCTCTCTCAGTCTGTTGCTATAGCGGCCGGTTTATCCGGATCGCAGATAATCTCGAACGCTTCTGCGCGTTAACCGGTCGGACAGGTGACTTATTGCATCGATTCGCTCGCTCCAGCGATCGCCGAACTGCAGCTAGCCGATATAAATTACGGCATCGATACCCTTTGGATATTGTCTCTGTGCGGCGATCGCAGCGCCGCCATGAAAAAAGAAAAATCTAATTATTCATTCGTGCAGCGATGGAGCGCGTACGCCGCGCATTGACGATTTAATCGGATTGCCGGCGCGCGCGAGGGGGCGGACTCGGCGGACAACGGCATCAATTCGCAACACGATCGTTTTAGAGCGCGCGCGTCACATTTTTATCGGCCGCGCGGCAGACGCCGATTCGCGCGCGCGCGATCTCATGCGCGCTCTCGCTGGCAGAATATTCATAAATCAATTTGACGGTAGAAAGTCTTCGCTATTATTCCATAAGCTCAAGGAGAGAGAGAGAGAGAGAGAGAGAGAGAGAGAGAGAGAGACGCGTGCTCGTCGACGTCGCAGTTACGTGCAGCCATAACATACACCGGCGACGCGAGCGTGCGATGCATGTGTATACTGCGAGCCACGTGCGATTTAGACGTATCGCTCGAGCGCTTAGCTTGGCTTTCCTTTTATTATGCGCCAGCCAGTCAGTCAAGACTGCTGAGTCGATAATGTGCTTTGAAATCTTTAGACTTGCAGATATACCCGGAGCGCCGTGCGCCACTGCTACGCCGTACCAAACCAAAATATTGTTCCGACTTTTGCCGCTGCTATTTCTACTTTCTATTTTGCAATCTCAGCTTTGGCCGCTGTTTGAGATCTATATTTCAGCGCTATAAGCTGCATCCATCTTTTTCTAAGTTGATTTTATTGCTTTCGCGCGTCAAATTAAGGTAAACGTGCTGCATGCAGAAAATCGATTGAGCTTTGTTATTCATCGTTCGATTCGGCAGAAAAATTAGCTCAGCTGTAAATGACTCTCTGCGCATAGCTAGAGTTTCACAGCTACGCTGAGCCTTATATTCCAGACTGACTGGCATTCGGTATAATCGAGCATCGGAGCTCGCAGGGAAAGAATGTTTTCAAACGAGGTTTGCTCTTGAAAAACAAAGTATGAAAAGCTGTGACAAGAGCGCGTTAAATCCGAAACGAGTTAGTTGAAACACCTCTGGCTGGCTAGCGTGGCATAAACGATTGGAAAAAAATGCGAAACATGACGGAGGTAGTATCGCGTAACAATAAAAAACTCGAGCGCTCGCTCGCTGCTTCTCTCTCTCTCTCTCTCTCTCTCTCTCTCTCTCTCTCTCTTTCGGGCGTCTTGTGCGGCGACATAAAGTCAAGCCGTTTATGGGGGCTCTCTTTCTCTCCCCCGAACCGTTCGTAATTCACATCATTGTCCATCCGTGATATTTATTGCGGCCTTCGTTACAACTCCCGCTCGCTCGGCCGAGCCGTTTGTCTGATAACTTTTGCGCGAAATTCCAAGGCTGACGCAGGTACCGGGAATCGGTAAATTTTCGGCAGAATACTTCTTTTCGCCCGCGAGATATGCCGCGCGCGCCGCGCGTATTCTCGCTTCTTTTTTCCTCCGCTGCTGATTTAGCCGAAAACTCGTTACAAGTTATTACTAAAGTTTAAGCAAGCAAATTAATGGCGCTTGATAAACTCTGGGATTTTTTTATATACATACTTAAGCTTTTCCTTGACATCGATCTCCTTTTACGGCCCGAATAAATTCAATTTTACGAAAGTTCCGCGGTATAATGAAACTCGAGTGTAAGCTATGACTCACTTGGCCGTCGCGAAACATCATTTTTAAATATATTTCCGTACTACTTAACACCGCGCGGCTAAATCCCCGCATCACAAAGTTTTCACGGCAAGAAAGCATGCGCCGGACGCATTATAGCTCATGAACATCTTAAGCACTTGCCGTTTCGTTTTGACGATGGTGGCAAAGTATAAACTATTCCTAAGGCGCGCTTCCGAGACAGCTCTTCGTCTTCGTTTTCACTCCGACGTCCCGAATCCAATCACACTTGACACCGTTTTGAAATTGCCGTATGAAACAAAAGTTAAAGACGCAGGTGCGAAGAAAGTGTTTGCGCGTCGGCGGCTTCGCTTTGTCGCGCCTTTATTGCACGCGCAACTCACCGATATTACAGCTTGACCCGTAACGAGCTCTCCTTTTCTCTCGCTTTCTTCGCTTTTTGGCTTTCAGCGAGCGGTACTTCTTTCGGGGTTAATTCCATCTCCGTGTTACCGAGCGAGACCCACGCGACAATGGCCCCTTGGCGCGTGTCATTGTCTCGTACGATAATGCCAGCGAGAGAGAACAGATACTCGACTTTGCTTTTCAGCTGTGTCAACTTTTGCACTTTTTTTGCCTCTATTCAAACAGAGATATGACACTTTTTCTCCTCAATGCCGTCTCATTATTCTTCTTTCGGGGTATTGTTTATAATAGTCGAGTGCATAGTTCACCGTTTTTTATATGTCAATAAATATCGAATATTATCTATCAGCTTGTCATCTCTTTTAGCAAATATTATTTCTCACAACAAGTTTTTGCCTTCGCGTGGAATTATTTGCTTTACACCGATTTATTTTAGTTCGAGAACCGTCTTTTATGATAGCGATATGAATGTTGTTATGTAACAAAACAGATTAAAAAAAACTCTTGCTTCAAACGCTATCAGAAGTCTGCTTAACTTTTCAGCAGTATGTTGCGCAAATTCGTGTTTTTCATTGCCATCGCCCTGCTCATCGCGGTAAATTTGGCTCTTCGGGAAACTGGTAAGTGATATTTTCGTTATAACGCGTAATACGAGCATTTTCAATTACAACTCGTGAAAATCATCCGCAAAGGGAATCGGAGCTCGCCGTGTCTTTCAGAATGCTTGAGCGATGGAAGCGACGACGTTGATTGCTTGATAAGTTGCGAAGGTAGAAGTTTCTATACATTATTAACTCTAAATTTTGTGGTTTCTTGCGCTTTGCTCTAATCTTTATATGTACGTATATTTCAGAAAGGGGCGATCTCCATTAAATTTCGGTCCCTGCAAAAAACATGTGCGCTCGATATTATCACACATAAACAAATAAAAGCAATTGGAAAAAATAATCTCAACCGTCTTGGACTTTGAATAACTTATCCGTGAACGTGAGCTCGCTGAGATTATTGTCTGCCGTTCGTATAGAAGTGAAAAGAGCAGTCTCGAAAGGAACTTCAGAGGCAACAGCAGCAAAAAAGAGATAACCGGAGCCATTCTTCGGTAATTCTATGAATACGAAATGTAGACGAAAGGCTAGTGGCCGTTGAGTCCCACGCAATCGGTTGCAACCTTGAAGAAAGGAGCTTCTCCGTGTGACAGTTTTTTGACGTCTTGAGCAACTTACAATGTAGTCTTTTTTACCGGTCACTCGATTTCGGCGCGCCCGAAACACGGACGAGGAGGCCTTTAAGGTTCACTGTTCCCCGTTCATGTTTGCTGCCTGTATTAGTTTAAACGTTGGCCATTGCCGAGTGAGCGGGCCATTATTTTAGACTACTCTACCGTTAGTCGAAATCGCGCGTCGTTATAATTTTTCGAGCGGCGAAGCGTCTTCCGATAGTCGAGTGTTTGATCGACGAGGCCTCATCGATAGGCTATCGCTGCATCAGCTGAATCAATAACGACGTTCCCGCAGTGCGCGCGCGCCGCGAGCAGCAAACACATGTATTCCGTGAAGTAATTTAACATGCTCTCCTGCCGGCAAAGCAGCAGCAACGGCAGCGATATCTCCTCGCGCCAGAGGTTACAAGCCGCAACCTCTGGCCTCTTCCCCTCCCCCTCTTCCTTCAGGTGTTGCGACGGAATGCGCGTGCGGCCGGAGGCTAACGACTACCGACAACTCGCGCATAATTGTAACGCCGGCTGATTTAAAATACTCCACGGGGATTCTCTCTCTCTCTTTCCAGAGGACTAGCGGGATCATGGCATGCTCATGCCGACTGCTCTTTGCTCTTGCGGTTTGCTAATGCATCAGTCGAGGCAGCGCGCTTACGACCTTCGTGTAACTGCGATGAGAGATGATTTTAAAGATTTCGTAATTTATTCGTTGGACTGCTTGCGACAACGGCTCGGCTCGAGCTATCGGAAATGTTTATGGCTGCTGATTCGTAGGCAACGACTGCTCGTATCTCGACCGATTCCAAGCTACGCATATGAGTTAACTTTACGTATTGCGTACTATTGCTCGAAGAGCATTGTCTCTTACAATGAGCCAGTGTTGGTATCACAGACGCCAGAAAGTATAAAAGCTGATCGCAATCAAGCCAGCGACAAATTCATATTTGACTCTCATTTGTACAGGTGATCATTATCTCTACTCTAATAATGAACCCCGAATGTTTGTTCGCTGACAATCGACACGTGAGCAAACATTTTACGGAACAACCAAGCGACCATTATGACACGTGTTCGCTTTGCTGCATCGTCAAGATTCAGTAATAACAAAGCGCGCATCGTCTGAAACATCCTAAAATCATATTTCATATCTTATCGACACAAAAAAACCCTTCAACACGTACTTCCTCTTCCTCCGAAAAAAGTAGCCCTGGGCGAGAAAGAAAAAAGCTCCTTCCTCGAAAGAAGATTTCGTTATCGCCGTGCGCCTCTCATTCAGCAGTCGAGCGCTCATCTCCCCAGGAGGCTGATCCCACGCTCGGCAGCATCCTTTATTAGGCCAGATTTGATTCAGTATCACGCGTGCGTTTAGCATGTGAATGCCGCCAAGACGTAGTTGGCTTTCAGGGGACATGCGCGACAGGTTTGTTATCGCGTCGCCCTCTGGTCCGCCGACTCTGGTGTTCGAGCGCGCGGACGCCCAGCGGCTCAATCGATCCCGCGCGTGGTCCCCGAGCTGCGGCCGCCTCGCGGAAAGTAGCCGCGCCGGGCAGCGTCGAAATTTATTGGTCGACGCGCTCTGATTTTCGAGGTGCGCGCGCCCGCGGAGAAAGTGGCGCGAGCGCGCGCTGATTGCGCGCGCGTAAAATCAATTTTAATGCTTTGTTTACGGCGCGCGGCCGCGGCGTCTTTGCATAAACGTAATGATTGATGCACGCAACGCGCGCGCATTAAGACGTGGAGAGCGAGCGGCAACATCAATTTCACTTGATTGCCCCCTTGATTGTCCCGGCGAAGGCCCGCGCGTGGGCTTTTAACCGTTCGCCCGGCCGCTCGCGCCACAGATCGAAATCTCCTAATTAGATCTGATACGTATAGTCCCGGTCGCGTCGCCGAGCTCGAGGCGGCCAATTTTTCGGCGAGCTTTTCGCCTAATTTAACGCGGCCTCTTCAAAGACGCTCCGGGCGCGCGAGACAATGCGCGCGCGCGCCGCTGAAACGGATACCTCCGCGGCGTAATCCGCGCGCACGGCTCGTTTCATTCATTAGCCGACAATGTGCAACGTCTTGGCTCTCTCTCGCTTTGTGGTCAACCGCCCGTGAGGCTCATCGCTTTCCGGATTGCTGCTCCTCGCAATTGCAGCGCGAGCCCGGAGAAAACACAGGATTATCGAGCTTTGGGGTGCTTTCCTCGTTGCCCTTTGTCGTTTCTTTGCCGATCGGAATCGAGGCTGCAGAGAGCAAAAAGGGACGCATAGCCGCGCATGACGCAAGTGCGGCGCAGAATCATACTTGCCGTCTACGTAATTCAACGCCATTTCCTTTATTAGCTCGCGCGTAGTTACATCGACAGATTATCCTGCTGTCGCGCGCAGCCCACTTGCCTATAAAACAGCCGTTGTTATAAATCATTCAATGAATAATCATAATTTAAGCGAGCGCTCGCGCGCGCGCCCGTGTACGTCTGAGATTGTGCGAGTAAAGAGAAACGATCGATAAACGCGCTGGAATATGTTTTATCGCGGCGCGCATAAAGCAAAGTCTCGATCGAACGGAGCAAACTGACTCGCGAATCGCGCTCGCGAGCTCCTCCGTAGTAGCTGAAAAGCTCCAATCACGCCGCGGCGCGCTGTCGTTGCTGGCACGTGGCTGAGGCGCATGCAGCGATTGCGAGCTGTGACGCAAGCTCAGCGCGAGGAGGCTGCCGGAGCCGGTACGCCGCGGCTGCTCGTCCGCGCCAAATTGGAAATTAATACAAACAACAGCGGTGAGAGCAGCGCACGAGGACTCTCCGGTGCCTAGACAATTAATCAGCTCAGCGGAGTTTATCAGCGCTCGATCTTAATTAATTGTTCCGAAAAAAGCCTTAGCTCGCGAGCTGGGACTGACATAACGCTTGCAGCCGCCAGATAGTTTTCCTAGATTAGCGACCATTTATGTAAGTACTCGCGAGAAGAACGAGAGAGATGCGGAGCTGGGCTGTCTTGGCTTACGAGCAGCGCTGTCGGTAAATCTTGACTCGTCTCCGATTGCCACGGCCGAACTGCGCCGATTAACCTGTTCTCGCGAACAAATCGCTCCTAAATAAATTTTCGTCTCCCCCCTTGCTCTCTCGTTACGAGCATGACTCGTAAATATTCAAAGACTGAGAGAGAGAGAGAGAGAGAGCAAAAATTGCACGCGCTCGTAAAGTACCTTTGAGCGTTAAGATTTGCCTCGGTGATATTGCTATGGCTAATAATGTATTACATTCGTGGGTGCATAATAAATTCATTATATATATGACTTCTCACGAGTAAATCACGTTCGTTTACATGAAATTCTAGGTCACCGAAACACACACAAACAAAACGCGCTCGTGCACACATGCTCAGACAAACGCAAAGCAAACGAGTACCTTTCTTTTTCCTTTCAATTCTTTTTTTCTCGACGACGAAATACGCGTACAGGATGCGGCCATCCGGAAATCATCTAGACCCTTCCAGTAGCAGGTCGGCGATAAGCTAATCCGAAAAATTAATTCTCCACCGCTGCGAGGTTGAGAGACCGCCAGGTGTCGAACAGAGCGTCTTGCACGGTATGAAAAAAAGACCATGCGTGTATATGGGTGACGTATGGAATTGAAAACAAGCGTGACGAAGCCTAAAGGCAAGCTTCCGCTGCTGGCTGGAGGGCATGTTTGAGTGATTCGCGCACGTGAACGCAGGCTGATAAATAGCGAAAGCCGAAAAAGTCGTAAAAGCCGATGTGGCTTTTCCTTGAACGCATCTGCTCTGGAGACGGAGCTGCAACGGAAAAATCGATCGGTTATTTAGAAACCAAGTTCGCTATCAATTCTCTCTCCCTCTCGTCGATTCTCTCACCCTATGTTTCCGTTTCCGTGGGAAGTGCTGCGGCTACAGATTAGACTGGTACAACAGGGGGCAAGTCGCAGTCTTTCGGGCTCTTTTTCATCCCCCTTACTACTTGCACACGGACACACACTCACGTTCACGCTGAGATTTCGACTAGCGCACAGGTGTCTTTCGATCGTGCGAAAGTTACTCTTTGTCCTCTCGTCTGTTGTGCACGGCAATGTAACGTACGTCTCTCTGCGCGCGCGAGAGAGAGTGAGAGGTTGCGAAATGGTGAAAGCACCTCTACAGCATGGAGCTGAGCTAAGCGCAGGGGTGGCCGCATTACGTCGACAGAGCAAGCGAGCGAGCAAGCGAGAGCGCCTTATTAAACTCGTGTCGCGCGTTGGTGTAATGATAGTTTATGCTGTAGATCCTCGGATTAGTTTAATGGGAATCGACTTTCAGCTATAAAATTACTACTGTTAAATAAATACCCACCCGCCCCCACGATCACGATCGTTTCCTCTCCAATTGCTGCTGCTACGCCACATACCCGATCCTATCTCTACTCTTTCAATTATTACCCCTTCTGTCTCGTTCGAAAACTCATACGTGGATGACCGATTTGATCATTCTATCAGACTAGAAACTGCCTCGTCTGATTTTTCGCTTGCGTAAAGTAAAGCGGCCTGGCTGTCAGGTATAGGTTCGGCTCGTCTTCGGAGCAGAGCTGAACATGCGTTCGAAACGTACATGGTTGTAAGCTATAGCCAAGTGTGATTACCTGCTGCCTATCGTATCTTAACTAGACAATGTAACGACTCTCAGACAAATCCACGAGGGTTACACAAGAAATTATTGTTTGAAAAATGTTGCGCCTGGCACTCGTAAT